ACACACACACACACACACACACACACACACACACACACACACACACAGCAGCTCCCAGAGTCCCCTGTCTTCCAGACTTGCAGAGGTCTGACAGGAGAGAGGATGATGTCATCATCCTCTCCAGCTGGGGAAGAGGTTAACCTGCAGTCAACAAGATCACTCTCTGCTTTACCACACGTACACCCAACGTATTCTCTGTTCTACAGGGAGATTAACAACAATTAAAGAGGAATTAAACATAATGTGATTATTGCACAGATAAATAGATGTAATTTTTAGATTTAGTCATTTTTCCTAGCGGTGGACTTGAATTATTTTCTCCTTTTTTTTTTTTTTAGTTGATTATTCATTTGGGCTTAATGACATCAGAAAACAATGACAAATCAGTATTACCTAGAGTCCTAGATGACATCATCAAAAGTTCAAAACTCGACTACCCAAAATATTCCGTCACCGTTAATGATGGGACAAACGCTGGAACGATCAAATGTGCATTTTTGCTTGAAAAATGACAAATGAGTACTTAAATATAAAGTAGTTGCCATTTATGTCCTGTCATGCACGTTTTCAACGGTGCCCTTTCACCTACTTCTCTCATGTGCACAGGTGTAAATGGACTTTCAACTACTGGAACTGATACTCACAATCTCCTTGGCTCAGTGTGAGTTAGCACTCACATTTCAGAATGGGAAATATTCAGGAGCACGTAGAGTCACTGCAGAGGGAGCATCACATTTGAGAGCAGCTGATCGAGGTGTGCGGCTTAATCTGCAGATTCACAAATCTGCTATATTGTTGCACACAAACCGCTATGTCACAGCGGGGCGAAACGAAGGCATCAGGTTTACCCTGTTTCTTCATCTGTGCCCGCATCCCTTCAGAGACCTCCTGCTTTGAGCACTACTTGATATCAGATTTAGGTCTTACGTCTCCCCTTCACACCTCCCCCTGAACAATGCGTCTAATCGACTGATTGCAACTCTGATAGTAATCATGAAAAATGTTCATAGATTAAAAAAAACACTAAAGCAGTACTGCACACTCATTTGGAACATCATCCACCGAGACCCAAAACAACTAGAGAAGCTACCTCAGTGTAGAAGCAGTGTAGCAGTAAAGCTCCAGTTGACACTTTTCCGTCATCATCACAGTATATTGGCCAACCCAACTCTCACCATATTCATAAATGTCACCATCGTCACTTTGTCCCACTGTCTGCTGTCTCACAACCAGAATTTGCTCACGTGTAGTCATTCCTGTTTACCAACAAATGCAATACCTGCTGTTCTGTGTTTCTCAGGCTCCAACAAGAAGAGGAATCATCTCAACCAGAAGGTGAAGCAGCCTGACTATAAAGTAGCCTACGTTCAGCTGGTGAGAAGACACACGCACACACATGTACACTCATCCTCCCACTCCCAGTCTTTTCTGGTTGGTGTGTTGTTTGAGTAGCGTCAGCTCAGTGACTCCTGTTCTGTACACAGTGGGAGGTGGAGACCCCCCCTTCCACAATCACTTTTTCTCTCCAACACACCCAATCCTCTGTGTGTGTTTTTTTTTCTTATTAAACACAACACCCAGGGGGAAAGGGCATTTTAAGGGCCTTGAGCCTTCAGCTTTTGTGTCATGAGCTATTTTTGAAAGGGGGACTTGCTGGGTGAGGGAGGTGAGAAGGGTTAGTTGATGTCCCCCCCCCCCCCACCCCCCCACGGAGCCCCGAGGGGCCGGCAGCCTTTTGAAGGCGAGCTCTCAAACTCACTCTCGGACAAATGCAGGTACGAACAGACGAACGATAAAACTGAACATCGGTGTGCACACACATGCTCCAAACATTTTTAACAAGCGCTGTTCCTTCACCTTCCATTTCAAATGTTCTCATGAGGGAATCCTCTCATGCACACACGCATACGTAGATGCACACAAATCACCCTACCTCGCGTCTCTCTCCTGTGTGGTTCACACACTCTGGCTGGCCCCCTTGAGAAAGGGGAGAAAGGGCCCGAGGGTGAAAGGTCGTCTTTGGTTACGTGCCAGACTTATTACAGGAAATATTGAGATATGTTTATCATCTGGTGTAGCTCTCATTTCTGTGCTCGTGTGCAATAGAAGGAATGTGAGCAATCATGTGCACTTAGTGTGTGTGTGTGTGTGTGTGTGTGTGTGTGTTTCGAAGGGACACCCAGAATCCCTCATTGCATCACAGCTGTTGCCTTCACACCTGTGTTTGAGGTGAGAGTTGGGTCAGGAAGGCCCATTCCCTGCACGTCTTGACAAATGTTTGAAGTCTGTTAGTCTTTGAAATCAAACAAACCTCCCTCCAAAAATGTCCAAAAAAAAGCAACTGTTTGATGCAGACGTGAAAAGCAAGGGGCCTTTGTTTTGGTGCCTGCCGTTTTGATCTCGTCCAGACAAATCAACAGCGGTGTAGACGCTTGTTTACGCCGCGCCGCCCACCCAGCCATCAATCTTGAAATGGATGAATAATGAAAATTGTCTAAACACGACATTTGAAAGAGGATACATAATTGAAGCAGCCATGAATCTTTGAACGGGGAGACTTCCTCTTCTCTGACACCAAGGAAGTGGCCTGTGATTTTTGTGTGCGTCTGGAATTCCTCGCGGAGTCAGCAGTGATGCTTCTGTCTCACCAGATGCACACGACGATGATAGGTGTGAGGATGCAGAATGACACAGACACACGTTCACACACACATCTGTGACATGTGTGCATCATTCATGCATGCCCATCCCCAGAGGACTTGTGTCATTCGCTCTGTAGTCGCAATCACGTCGCGGTTTTCTGAAGTCACGCTCATTTGATGGTGAACAGTGGGTAGAAATGCTCAGATGCAGGCTCTCTTTGTGCTTAAAATCGCTTGATATAAAACCGAATATCCAGCCTATTTCTCTGGCAGGTTTTTGGAAAAAAACATTCTCTCGCTCAACTCTCTTTCCTACCTCGCTCTCTTTCTTGTGTAAGCACTCACACAAACTCGCGCACACACACAGAGCCCCCAGAAAACCCTCCTTTCTTTTGCAGCGGTGGGTAGAAAACAAGATTGTTCCTAATTGACTCCACATGTGGGAGAGTGTTCTGTGGGTCGATGCTCACACCGCGGTCCCCCCATTCTACCCTCATCCTCCCCTCTCCCGCCTCTCTCCCCTGCTCCCTCCATCAGCTAATATTGCAGCAGTAATACTCTCCCTCTCCCATTCCTTGCTCTTTGTTTGTGGTTGAAGGGAGGCCTCCCGTTAGAGGGGTTCTGTGACTGCCATTTTCCTCAGGCTTAAAGGGGGGGACCCCAGTAACAGTAACATGCAGACATGTGTGAAATGTGCACGGTGTGTGGGAAAGTGTGTGTGCGTGTGTGAGGGGATCACACGGGGCCGCTGGGTGGGGGTCGGGGGGGTTGACTAAGGGTATGATGGAGTCATGCCAGAGCAGGGAGGTCCAGAGACGGGGCAAAGCGATCAGTGGGAAGGGGAAGAGGATGTGTGCGTGTGTGTGTGTGTGTGTGTGTGTGTGTGTGTGTGTGTGTGTGTGTGTGTGTGTGTGT